CCACCGGGGGGCAGAGGAGGACGACCCCGGTGGGGGCGGCAGGAGGACCCCGTGGAAGGCAAAGGAGGGAAGGCAAAGGAGGGTTGGCGACAACGACGAGAAAGGAGTACAGGCAAAGGGGGGGGCATGAGGATCCCGTGGAAGGTGGACCCCGTGGAAGGCAAAGGAGGGAAGGCAAAGGGGGGGGCAGGAGGATGACCCTGGTGGGGGACCCCGTGGAATGCAAAGGAGGGCTGGCGACAACGACGAGGAAGGGCTCGGATCCAGAAAAGTGGTCCGCGCTGGGCCGAGAGTGTTATCCTGAACGACTGAAGCAGCGTGCCGATCCTAAGATGATGGCCCGCGCTGCAGCGGGTGCACCACTTCGAAGGACACAAACTACCCGATTGTAAGCGTAGTACTCCGACGGTATGGCCCCGCACGAGAATCTCATAAACTGATACGGAGGTTATCCTCATCGTCGTACTTGTGACTACGGAGGCTCTCTTCCTGGTCGTTGCCGTCGCTTGCAAGTTTGATTGGGGAGTGTCGCCTCGGATTTCAAACGACGCTCGACACGGAACGAGGCTCCCGCTCGAGAGTTTCTCAGGAGTCAGACTACCAGGTGTCAGCGAGCCTGTGCTTTCACATGGGATTCAGATGGCCGCTTCGGGTTAATGACATGAAGCGGGGGGGTCATAGGGAGGACTCCCGCTCGAGATTTCCTCGCGATTCGCGTGCTGGCGGGCGCCCGGGGCACCCCCTCAGTCTGCTCCAGCCCGAGGCTCCCGCTCGAGACGTCCTCGGAGTCCAGGCTACCAGCATCCCGGTGGCTGCCTCAGATTGCCGACGTGAGGCGGGGACCCCACACGGAAGGGTTCCCGCTCGAGATTTCCTCGCGTTCGCCCGCAGACGGGGCTCCCGTTCGAGATATCCTTTCACTTTGCTCCAGAAGGAGGCTCCATCTTCAGACTTCCTCGGGGTTCAGGCCCTCACGCGTCACCAAACCTATGTATTAAAGAATCGTTGTTCGATGGCCGCCTCGGATTCGAACATGGGGGTGGGGACCCCATACGGAGGTGCTTCCCTTCGAGACTTTCTTGCGATTCACTCACAGGCGAGTCCGTGCCATCTTCTCAGTTTGCTCGGGCACGAGGATCCCACTTGAGACTTCCTTGGGGTTCAGACTCCCAGGTGTCACCACACCTGTGTTTTTTGAATGGTTTTTTCCCCATGGCCGCCTCGGATTCGAACATGGAGGTGGGGAGCCCATATGGAGGAGTTCCCGCTAGAGACTTCCTGGCGATTCACTCACAGACGAGTCAGCGCCCGAAACATTGTTTCAGTCTGCTCAGGAACGAGGCTCCCGCTCGAGACAACCTCGGGGGTCAAGCTCCCAGGTGTCACCGCGATAGCTCGTTTTCTCTTGACACCCCGAGCGGGAGCTAGAACACACATCCACACACCCACACATCATCGTCATCATCATCATCATCATCATCATCATCATCATCACCATCATCATCATCATCACCATCATCACCATCGTCATAATCATCATCGTCAAAATTTCTATCATCCTGACCATCTTCATAATCATCATCATCATCATCACCATCATCAACATCACAATGACCATCATCCGCGCCACCAGCATCATCATCATTACCATCATAATCACCAGCATGACGCTCATCACCAGTATTATCATGATCATCATCAGCATGATCATCATCATCACCACCATCAGCTTGACTATTATCATTATTATCATTATCATCAGCATCGTCACCATCACCATCATCATCATTCGCTCACTCACTCGGCCCATCTGTCCCCCTCTCCTCCGTTTGCGTTCACCGTGGCTATCACCATCACCATACCCACCGTCCTTCATCTTCAGAATCACTCACGCACTCATACAGGCACTCTCAGCATCATTACCATCTCCATCATCATCCTCATCATCCTCTTCATTGATCCTCCTCGTCGTCATCACACGCATCATCTTCACCATCAGCATCAGTACCTTCGTCACCATGATCACCATCACCATGACCATCACCATCGCCACCAGCATCGCCAGCATCACCATCATCAACAACACCAGCATCATTATCATCATCACCACCATCATCATCATCAGTCTGATCTTCATCATCAGCATGGTCATCATCATCACCACCATCATGACCATCCTTATCATCATCATCATCATCATCATCATCATCATCATCATCATCATCATCATCATCATCATTATCATGATCATGATCATTATCATCATCATCATCACCATCATCATCATCATCATCATCATCGCCACCATCACCATCATCATCACTCAATTACCCAGCTCATCTGTCTCCCTCTCCTCCGTTCGCGCTCACCATCCACCATCACCATCACCATAACCATTGCCACGCATCTTCAGAATCACTCGCGCAGTCATGCAGCACCATTACCATCTCCATCATCATCCTTATCATCATCCTCATTAATCCTCCTCTTCATCGTCATCACCATCATCATCTCCACTATCAGCATCAGTATCTTCGTCACTATCATTTACATCATCGCCATTACCGTCCTCATCAGTACCACCATCACCACTCTCACACCAGCGCGGCCGTCATCAATCGTCATCTGTACCATCGTCGCAGTGCACACTCTTCCACACTCGCACACTCACCTTGAATCATGGGGCACCTCCATGTTCGGACCCGAGGCGGCCATCGGAAAACCGTGTAACAGCACAGGTGTGGGGACACCTGGGAGTTTTGAATCCCGCGGGTGTCTCGAGCGGGAGCCTCGTTCCTGAGCAAACCGAGAGGTCTCGAGCTCCCAAGCTCTCCCTCTCGCCTCTGACCGTTTTTGTGTATCTCTGTCTCTCTTTCTCTCTCTCTCTCTCTCATTCTCGCTCTCTTTGTTGTTTCTCTCTCTCTCTCTCTCTTTCTCTCTCTACTCCTCTCGCTCGCTCGCTCGTTCGCTCTCTCTCTCTCTCTCTGTTTTTTGTTTGTCTCTCTCTCTCTCTCTCTGACTTCCTCGCTCGCTCGCTCGCTCTCTCCCCCTCTCTCTCTCTCGCTCACTCCCTCCCTCTCTCTCTCTCTCTCCCTCGCTCTCTCTCTCTCTCTCTCTCTCTCTCTCTCTTTACTCCTCTCTCTCGCTCGCTCGCGCTCTCTCTTTCTCTCTCCCTCGGTTCTCCTTTCTAGTTTTCTTGCTCGCTCGCTCGCTTTCTCTCCCTCCCTCTCACCCTCCCTCTTTCTATCTCTCTCTCTCTCTCTGTCGCTCTTTCTATGTTTCCTCTCTCTGTCTCTCGCTCTCTCCTTATCTTTTCATCTCCACACCCATCTCCACATCCACCTCTCATTCTCTCTCTCTCTCTCTCTCGCTGTCTCTCTCTCTCTCTCTCTCTCTCTTTGCTTTCGTTTTCTTTTCTCCCTCCATCCCTTTCTCTCTTTTTTTTTCGCTGCAGCTCCCATCAAATAGTGGCTCCTTCCCTACCGTTCCGCTTCCAATCTCCATATCCACCTCTCTCTCTCTTTCTCGAGTCTCTGCCCGAGTCGCTGCAGGAGCAGAGCGTGGCCATGACACAAACCCTTCCGCGCCCCCCTAGCCCAGTGAGATTGTAACCGGGGACTTTACCCGGGACCGCACCGCGCGTGGTGACCTCGTCACGGCCCACTCCCTCAACTGCGAGACGAGCAAGATTCCGCAGGGTGGAAGCTGGCTTTCATGCAGTACGGCCACCTGCGCGACAGCCGCGTCCTGAGCAGCAAACTCTCATTGTTCATCGTGATGATTACGTTTTCCGCGTTCCCATCCCGGATGAACATGCCCTTCCTGCTCCACTTCACGCCCCTCCCACGACTTGGGGCGCCCTTCAAGATCCCCGAGACGACGTACAACGTCTTCGGGGTGCACTACACGAGGTACACGCTCCTGTGCATGCGAGAGGCCGCCGCGCCGCTACAGCGGCCAGCCGGACCCCGAGTATCAACGGCAGCCACCCGTTGCATTTGATTTTCCGCGTCCCACCGCTCTTCCACAAGGCCGCCTTCGGCATCCATGATGGCATCGGCAAGCTCTCCACGATCTTCGTGATCCTCGGCAGCCTGTTCTGCTCTACCCTCGGCATCCATGATGGCACGGCCTCGCTCTCAGCGGTCTTCCGGGCCCCGGGACTCGTCTCCCGGGTGCAAAGCTTCCCCTTGGCCGCCGCGCCACTTCGGTGGCCGGCTGGGCAGTCGTGTTCGTCGGCAGCACCCCCCGTGCTCATCGGGAGCGCCCTCGGAATTATTGACGGCGGGCCTTGCCCTCCCCTGTCGGGCCGCGCTCGCCCTGCACGCGGTCTTCGTCTAGTTCGCCGCGTTTTGCTTCTCTGGCGCGACCTCGCCCGCCACTGCAGGCCCTGCGAAAGTAATCCAGGACGAGCAACGCGCGCCGTCTGGCCGTGCGCTCATGGGCCACGGCCCTCACGTTGCCCACCGCCGTGCGCCCGCAGGTCAAGGGTCGGGGTCAGTGAGCACCGCCCTCACTGACGCCCCACCGACCACAATCCAGGTACGTCCGCGCCGCAAGCCGCTGCCCGGCCACCTGGGTCCCGCCTCCCGCTGCGGGCGCGGGGCACGCGCGCCAAGACGCGCCACGCACCGCCCTAAGGGGCTCCTGGGGCGACCCTCGAGGAGTCGGGGGGGAGTTGAGTCGAAGAGGGAGGAGGCGGGGGCGACTATCACGACCACCACGTCAACCATGCGCCTTGTGGCGACGCCGCTGGCGCACTGGTCGCAGTCGTGCGTCCAGCTGATGGGGCCACTGGCGACCACGCCTCCGAACACCAATCGCGGGTTGAGTTACGTAGAGCGCGTGCAGAACGGAAATGTTGCTTGAGTGATGCCCTTTTTGCAATTCATGTTTGCAGCGTCTTGCACAATTTCGTCACCACTCTCAGTGCCATCGCCGTCAGTGCCACCGGCGACCTTCGCACTACCACACATCACGGCGTCCACGCGCGTGTCAGCTGCACCGAATAACTCCGGCGGGCCTGGCCAGGAGCGGCGACGCGGAGCGCAGTGCAGGCACCGCGCTCCAGTGCCCTCCCCTCACCTCCTCCCTCTCCCCCCCGGCCGTCTTCCGATCCCAGTCGGCGGCAGAGGAGGAGGAGGAGGAGGAGGAGGAGGAGGAGGAGGAGGCGGAGGAGGAGGAGGAGAAGCAGGAGGTTGGAACTAGAGGATTCCGACGACGACGACGACGACGACGACAGGCGGACGCGCGGCTCCCAGACGGTCTCGGCCGACCCCGCCACCGCTGGGCTGACGCCCAAGCGCCGCCGCCCCCGCCGTCACCAGGCCACCGGCCCTGCCGAGGCCCCTGCAGCCAGCGACGGCCTTACCGAACCTTGCCCGGCTGTCGCGCCTGCCTCTCCTGTGCGCTGGCCGCGTACTTGTTTCGTTCCTTTGTCATAGCACGCCCTCCGGCTTGACCTGCGTCCCTGCTGGCCAAAGGGGTCGCCTTCGGCCAGGCCGACGTGCATATGACAGCCCACCGATGTATCGAGCTGCGACCACACGGTCTGCGATTCCCCACTTGCAGCACCCGCCTGACTATCGTTTTCAGCTCGTTCGTCCTCACTTTCTGCTTGGACGAGGCCCTCGGCTTCCCGCGCCGCGAGGTGACGGCCCTAGTTAAGCTTGCCTTCTCCAAACGTTTCCGCACCTACCCTCACTTCCTTTTATCGGTATAATCTGGTCGGACGCCCTCGGAGCACGACAGGGCTACCACATTAATTTGGAAGCTCCTTGATGATCCACACCTCGGAAGGCCCCGCTGCATCGGGCGCGTCGCTTCCTTGCCTCACCAGGGCGCTGCCCCCCCTGCGTGGGCCGCGCCGTAGCGGTGCTGACGCCTGACGCACTCTCCGCTGTTGAGGCCGCCCTGCAGCAGCCGCAACCTTTCAGCGGGGGTGCCGCTCACTGGCGCACCCTCACGCTCACTGGCACCAACATGTCCGCCACGCGTGTTTCACCTTCCATGGTTAAATAGTTTTATATTGCGCCCGCATAGGGCCTTCACCGCGGCCGAAGGCCTCACCTCTTGCCAGGCCGATTGCCCGCGCGGCCACGCGTCTTCGGGACCTGGCTGCGGCGGCGGGGGACGCCCCGTCGCTCGCAAGCCGCTCAGCGGTCAAGCCCGTGTCCCCCGGCCGCCAACCTGGGCTTCGCCGACCTGGGCCCTTTTCCTCCGTGGGGCGCCGAGAGACTTGGCGCATCGCCTGCTCAGCGCTCCGTCACTTGCTTCAGTCGCGTTGCGCCCGGGTGTGGTTGTTTCAAAACTCCCCGTACTTCCAGGTGTACACCACCGCCAAGAGTGCGATGGCGGCCTCGGCTACCTCAGTAGCTGGCTGTCGACGGGATTCCCGCTGTTTTTTTCCGATCTCTCTCTCTCTCTCTTTGTTTTGTCTTTCTCTCTCTCTCTCTCTGTCTTGCTTCCTTGCTGCTCTCTGCAGCGCCAAACAAAAACCGTGTTCCGACCCTTCCGCTTCCTATTCACATCCTCCTCCTCTTCCTCCTCGCTCTCCACCTCCACCTCCTCCGCTTCGCGTTCGCTCCGGGCTCTACCCTGCAGCCCGCTGTCACCGCCAACCCTCCCTTTCCTTCTCCCCCTTGCCCTCGATCTCCCCATTCTCCGTCGTTTCCAGCTGCCTCCTCCGCCTTCCTGCCCCCGCCCCGTCCCCCCCCTTTCATCCGTCCCCAGTCGCCTCCTTTCCACGTCCACCCGCCCCCCAGCTCTGTTGCTCCGCCCGCGGTCCGAGGTACACGCTCGGGCGCGCGGCGATGCTGGAAATCTTCAAGTCCTTCCCAGCGGAGAAGGCACGTGCCCTCTTCTTTTCCGCAGTAGATTCGACGAAGGACAAGCGGCATAAACATGCACTCCCGCAGGTCCGCGAGGATTTTTCGAATCGGCGCCCTTCTCCGATCCCAGAACATCCGCGCGGATCTCCTACAGTTTTCGTCAGTGATACGTGGCTCTGTCCAGCGTCCCCCCCTCTCCCGTACATCGATCCAATCCCAGGGCCGCGTTTTCGTCATCCGTGCCGACGTTTGACTGGGCATGTCGTCGCGGGCACGAGCGCCCATGGCTCTTTCCCGTGATCTCTTATACGAAGCGGCGCGCGCGCTACGACGCGCGCGCTCGTTGGCCAGGTCGCGCTGGGCCCGCGCCTCATCATCACAGCCAAGCCCCGCCCCACTTTTCCTTCCGTCCATGTGTTCATGTAGGGAAGCGATGGCGGGCGCTAGCGCGCGTGATGGTGTTTCCGTAGCTCAAACATATGAACAGGACCTGCGCTCGCGCTTGCCATTTTTGCCTTTAGATACCCGGGCACCCGGGCACCCGCCCCCCAACCGGTCACCCGGCAGGCACGGAGATCGCGCTGGGCGGGCGCGTGCGAGGCATTTGCGCGTACCCCCCGCAAGCAACCCAACCCGCAAGGCGCCCTTCATCACGTGAGCGACGGAAGAAAACGGGGCCATCTTTACCAGCGTTGGCGCCCAAGCTGCCGCGTGCGATGGCGCGGAAGCGCCCTCGCTTCCAATGTGGCGTGCCGCGCTGGCGGCCCGCGTAGGCCACCGCGCAAGGTCGCTATGTCTTCTCGCGTGAGGCCCGTTTCTCTTCGTCGCCCACGTGGGCATCACGCTGAGGCTGCCCGGCGGCCAGTGTGCCAGGGCCTTCCACACAGGGGCCCTGCCTTCGGCGCAGCCACCGCCTCCAGCGGGAAAGCAGAGCGGCGGAGGGTCCGCAGAGGGCGGCGCGGAAGCCGCAATGTCGCCACAGGAGGCATCCCCACCATGGCAACATGGCTGTTTCCGCAGCACGTGTCCTGAGGTTTTTCGCCGACGTCGAGCTCGTCAGAGAGCGGCTCGGGATGAAGAGCTGGTCGTTGAGCTGGTCGTTCCCCTCAGGGCCCGCCTCTTTGGTGCTCGGGAAGCAGCACAGTGTAGCGTCAGTTTGTTTTGGTGCAGGGTTTCCGGGATCGGGTGTCGTTCCGTCTTTCGCGTTCCTTGCTTGAGCAGCCCAGCTGCAGCCATAACCAGCGCCCGGGGGAGCGATCCGCAGGGACCTCGGCAGGCGGCGGACATGGATACGTGCGGGCCGAGGGGGGGGCAGACGTGCCCATGCCTATGTCTACTCTCCCTGAGGCTGTGGCTGTGGGCAAGTCCCCGCATCGCGCTCCAGGCTTCGGGCGAAGGACCTCGCGGCGTCGTCGCGGCTCCCTGGGCCCCCCCGATGGCCGAACGCGATGCGACATCAACGGCCTGCGCGCCCCGGGCCTGGCCTCCCCCCCTGCGCCCCCCGAGAGCCGCGCCCCCTTGCGCGTGGCGGAGCGAAGGACGCCGCGGCGTGCCAGAGCAGGCCCTCCTGCACGCAGACCCGCTGCGGCCTGCGCGCCCCCCGGCCCGCCCCGAGGCTGCAATTCCACCGGGCCTCTGGCCCGTAGCGGGCCGCCGCCACGGCGCCAGGCCCGGAACGGACCCTTCACCGGCTTGGCTCGTTCGTCCTCGCCCGGGAGCCTGGAGACGGGGGTCAATGCAAACATTGTTTCCATCGAACGAAATGTTACGGAAAGAATGGGTACGATGCTCAACAGCAGTCCTTGTTCATTTTGAACAGGACTCGCTGTCCGCGCCGCCGCGGCCTGTGTCCATTTGAAACAAAAGGCCAACTGCCCAACAGCAGCTGCTGTTGGTTCGGGCCAACAGTTGCTGTTGGTCATTGTACCCATATTTTCCCGTCCAAAATCAACAGGAGTCAGCCAGAGCGCCGGATCTTGCAGAGCCAGGGGTGCACTGACCCCGGCCTGCATGCAGGGTTTGGGATTCTGCAGGATCCTGCAGGGCCTGCCTGTCTGACCCGGGTGTGGATTGACCTGGGACAGTAGATCCTCCAAATCCCTTATTAGTCGACCCCCCCCCATAAAAACCGGACCCCCCTTCAAATGCGACCTGATATTCTGGAACCCCCTCTCCGACGGGGCGATTTGATAAACCGGACCCCTTAAGCTCCAATCCAAAGAAAGCGACCTAATAAACCAGACCCCCCCCCAGTTACGAAAAAGGTGCTTTAAAAAACCAGACCCGGGGGACGATTCATACGGGATCCGGAGCACTCGATTCGCCTCCTTCCTCCCTGGACCCCCTCGCGTCGTGACAGAACTCAGCGTGCAGCTTGTCTCCGTATGATGCCTCTGGGGGCGCTGGGCCCCGGGACCGTGTCCCCCCCTGGCAGGGGGATCTTGGGCGACGAAGTAGAACAAATCAGAAGATAGCCCCAACATGTTCAAACATAGGCAACAAAAATCCTCCCCAGACTATTTTTAAAACTGTTTTTGAATATTCCTCCTGTAGAGGGACGGGCCCGACTTAAACTCATAATGAAAAGCTGGTCTTGGGGAATGGGTCGAGACCTCCAGGCGTCCACGTTGGGGAAAGACGACGTCGGGGCTCCGAGTTTTTCTCCCTGTGCTCCTCGCCTCCCTCTCGTCCTCGGATTCACTGGTGGCCTGTGCCTGGACTGGACAACTCTACCAGGAGTCGGGCGCTGGGTAACGGGGGAGCCAGACATGGGGGCGGGGTGAAGAAAGGTGCACCTTTTGTGCCCTACAGGGGTCCAAAAGGGGCCGCCTGGGGCCCAAAAGGGGCACGAAAGGTGCACGCACGAGGAGCGTATGAGGCGGGCGCCGACGACGGCAACGACGGCCAGCGGCCATCACGACGGCGGCGGCGGCAGCCGCCGCCCCGAGGAGTGCCCGACGCGGGTGCCGACGACGGCGGCGGCGGCGGCGACAGCGACGGCGACGGCGGCGGCAACGGGATCAGTGGCTGGCGGCGCCGACGAGGAACGACGACGCTGACCACGGCGGCGACGGCGACGGTGGCGGCGGCGGCCGCGGCCGCGAGGAGCGCATGAGGCAGGCGCTGGAGGCCTGCCGCCAGGCCGCCCTGGCGCCGGAGGTGGGGCGGCAGGCCACCTCGGGCAGGCCCGGCGGGGGCCAGGACCCCGGGCGGGCGGGTCGGCGGGTCGGCCGGGGGCGTCGAAGGCCTCGGGCGCCCCCAGGCGGTGCGATGACCACAGCGTGCGGTGAGCCCGTGGGGCCTCGGGGAGGCCGCACGGTTCCGTGGGACCCGGGGTCTCTATAGGAGACTGTTTTTTCTTAGGGTCCGGCGATCACCCGGGTTATCGGGCTTGCCCCCACCGCCTCCCCCCACCCCCAGAAGAACCTGACCTTGCCGGTTGTGCAGGTCCAGGGTGGGGGGGCGCGGGCATATGCAGGGCTGCCCACAGCGCGAAGGTTAGGTTATCGGCCAGCCCCCTCCTCCCCCCCTGGATAACCCGGGTTATCGCCGATTCCAAAAACGGTCTCTAGGCCTCCCAGATGGAGTTCGAGAAGGTGGGGTCGGGTGATCGGGCCGCATCTCCGACGCGTCGGCGATGCGGCTCGATGTGGTGTCCGACTTTCGCCACGCCGGCGGCGGCGATGCATCACCGACGTCGCCGATGCATCGGCGACGCGGTGCGATCCTCCGACCCCATCTACTCGGACCCCATTTGGGAGGCCTCTAGGGTTGTTCTCCGAGGACGTCTTTGGCGACTGGGGTTTCTGAGGTCCCAGACCGTGCGGTGACGGACCATGCGGTGACTTCTTCTTTGGGGGTTCCGAGGTCACCGCCTGGTCTGTCACCGCACCGTGTCGGGACCCCCCAACGAAAGGGTAACGGCTAGGGGGGGAAGATTGTCGAGGGGGGGCCCTCCTGGGGGGAAGATTGCAGGTCAGCTTGTGCGGTGTCCCAGTTTGCCTTGCGAACGTTTGATTCGCGATGTGGCTGTGTCACCAGGGGATTGTGTTTCCTCTGGCCTGCGGCCGGCGCAGGGAGAATGGGGTCGTCACCTCTCACACGCTCGCTCTCTCTCTCAGGCCACGGTTCACCTAATGTGTTTGCTTACCGCAGGTCGGCTTGTGGGTTGCACCCGGTTCGCCTGGCGTTTCTTTGAGGGTCTCAGTCGTCCAGGCTCCGCAGGGGCGCGCAATTAGAGACGAGATTTCCGTGGAGCACATGCCGGCAGACCGACCTTTTATGTGATTCGCCCGGTGTGGCACCGAAGCTGTGTGCCGCGCGCTTGTTCTAATGCCGCCCTGGCTCGCAGCCCGGCAGCGGCGGGAGGCCCACTCGTGCCCACACTCACGTCGAGTTCGGCCCACTCGTACCCTGTGCCGTGTTGTGCATTCGGATGACGTGTGGTCTTGCTGACAGCCTCCGAAGGCAGCACTTGGCATGCTTCCACGGGCTCCTATGGATGAGGGTCTGTAGGGATTCCATACGGATCGCCTCGCCAGTGAACTCTTGCATCATGGAGGACATTTTAACACTCGAGCCTGAGCATCTTCATTGGTCGTTGCACGGAGGCAGGCCTGACTATGCAGCAGCTGCCTTGCCCAGGGCCGGCTTTGCATCCCGAGTCGTCTTTGTGACGGTCTGGACTCTAGCTGGCCCGCGCAGCTTCGCCTCGCCCGCGCCTGAGATTGGAAGCTTGAGAATGCTGTTGGTGACGGTTTGCGTTCGCAAGGGGCAAGATTTCGAGGCGCTCCTTCTGCGAAAAGGACCCTCCCCCCTCGCTCCTACTCCCCCTCTCCTCCCTCCTCCCCTCTCCGCTGCTTTGCCTCGCTGCAGCGGCAGGCTCTTCGAAGGAGACCTGCACATTGTTCATTTCCAATTCTTCCAAAGTTCTTCGATGTTTTGGGGGGCCAAGATCCTTTCATTTCTAAGTGTTCTATCCTGGGCCTCTTCCTGGCCACTAGGGGGCCGGGAACAATTTGAAACGAGCACAATGAGAAATGAGCACGATTAGAAATGAACGACGTATAAACAGCCTCGCGCAAACATACAGGCCGCTCAGCATCGACGCGGGATCCCTGAAACTGCCCTCTGGCGTGCGCCGCGCCCCATGGCCTCTGGGGCCCAGGCTCTCCCGACGCGGGGCTCCTGGGTGTCTCAGCCCCTCTCCCAGAGGATCAAGAGGATGCTGTACTCAAGAGGATCTACGCGCGGTTCCCAATCGATTCTCGGATCTCCGAGTGACAGCTTCTACCAGGCATCGCTAGCAGGGCAGCCATTCTACGTGGCTTGACGCTTCCGTTCCGCTATTGGGCAGGGCGTCTGAAGCTGCTCAGTGGCTTCAGAAGTGCGTCGCTGGGCTCGTCGTCGCGCTCTTGTGCTCGCTCTCACCCCTCCCTTGCAACATTGTTCTCGAACAAAACAAACGCGAGGCCATGATCATGATTCATTGCCAAGGCCTCCAAGGCTCCCCAGGATGTCCCGCATTCCCTGAGGTCCCGCACGGGCTGCAAAGCGAGGGCCGCCAGATACCCTTTGGAAGTCCTGGAACGCGTCCTGAGCCAAACGTTCCTCGCCCTGCTCTCGCAGGGCTAGGTCGGGCGTGTCCCCCTCGAGGTGGATTTTGGACGACAAATTACAAAAGTCAAACAGTACCCCCGAATACCTCAAAATAGTCAAGATCGTCCCCAGACTTTTTTGATTTGTTTTTGGATATTCCTCCTGTAAAGGGGCAGGCCCGACTTAATCGCAGGTCCAGCCTTCCCCCCCCGAGCCGCAGATCTCTGGCCCGCCAGGCCCGCCACGCACCCACGGGCCAAGTTGGGAGCGGCGCCAGGCCCGCCGCCTCTCGATGTGTGTTGGACGAGGCGCCGACCGCGGCGCGAGGAGGAGTCGCCAGGAAACAAGCAGTGGCGAAGCTTCCCAGCGTGCCTATAGGCCCACCAAACAATGTTCTCTAAGAACCTTGTTTGGTTTCTACGAGATGTTCTTAGAACATTTCTGGCTGGGGCTGTCTTGTCTTAACACATGGGGCTTATATTCTAAGAGCATTGTTTTTGTTCTTGGAACACTTCTGGGTTCCAAGAACATCCCGTGGTACTTCTATAGGAATGCCGGGACGGTCGGCCCCTGCTCTACAGCAGGAGCGGCGACAGGCCCGCGCCACTCGACGTTTTGGACGAGGCGCCGACCGCTTGCGCGAGGAGGAGTCACCGGGAAGCGGGCGGGTCCAGAGGGAATCGGGTCCCGACGCTTGCGGTTGTTTCAGTGGCTTCACGAATGCGTCGCCGAACGTGTCATCGTGTCGTGCCCGCTCCCAGCATAAGAAAAGAAGCTCCGTACGCGGCGGCGGGGGATCACAGAAGAGGATCGAGTCTCGGGTGACCGAAGAATAAAGGGCCATGACCATAGAGCGCGTCTGAGAATCATGCTCCACCTGGGGAACATACACAACGGCCACACTGCGGCAGCCGTGGGAGCCCAGGAGACCACCCACATGGCTTGCCATGACCCCTCAGCACCTTAGACCTGCAAGCATCAGCGACGACGGGCACCACCACTCCTGGGAGGGGCAGGCCAAAGCCTGGCCCGCGTGGCCGCCGAACGGCGAGGAGAGGGAGGACGAGGAGTAGGACGATCAAGACACGAGGATCGAAGCCTCGAGGATCGAGGATCCGAGAGGACCATCGAGGCCTCGAGAGGACCGAAGCCCCGAGGATCCAAGACCGAAGCCGCCCACAGGAGCCCGGCGAGCAGCCGGGCGGGCCGCGACACGCCACCGCCACCCCGGCGCCAGGCGGCGGGCACGAGGCGCGGACCCCACGGCTTGCGCGGGCCGCCGCCGCCGCCGCCGCACCGAAGCCCGATAGGCGGATGAGATTTTTTTTTTTCTCCCCGCCTCTAAAGAGGGTTGCTTGTTTTTCCTGGGCGCCCTCGCAGGAACAGGGAGGACCCCCACAATCATCATCATCATCATCATCATCATCATCATCATCATCATCATCATCATCATCATCATCAGCATCATCAGCATCAGCATCATCATCAGCATCATCAGCATCATCATCATCATCATCATCATCATCAGCATCATCAGCATCATCACCACCATTGTTATTATCATCAGCATCAGCATTATCATCACCATCACCGTCATCACCTCCATCCCCGTCATCTCAGCATCACAATCATCATCATTATTATCATCATCACCAGCATCATCGTCTTCATCATCGTCATCATTGTCAGCATCAGCATTGTCATCACAATCATGATCATTTTCATGGTTGCCATCATCATCACCATTGTCATTATCATCAGCATCACCGTCTTCACCACCACCAGCATCAGCATCGACATCACCACAATCCTCAGCTTCAGCATCAACTTCAGCAGCATCATCAACACCATTATCATCCCCATCATTATCACCACCACCATGTAACGTATCGTCATCACCTTCATCATCAACCTCTTCGTCATCATCATCATCAGCACCATCAGTGATACCAACATGATCATGTGCTCAGGATCGTCACCATGATCACCATCATCGTCGCCGTGATCATTGCCATCATCGTCATCATCCATAACATCACAATCATCATCAGCACCAGCATTACGAACATTACCAACTCCAATCTGATCATCATCATCAACAGCGTCACCCGCTTCATTATCACCGCCACGATTACCATCAACAGCCAAACCGTCATCATTCTATTCATCGTCATTGGCATCACCACCACCACCAGCATCATCAGCACAACCACCGTCCTCGACATCACCATCGTCGTCCTCGCCATCATCGGCCCCATCCGCTCGTCACCATCCGCACCACCATCCATCACATCAACATCAGCAATCTCAGCATCACGATCAGCATGGTCATCCTCACCATCACACGCACCATCAGCATAATTAGCATAAACATCATTACAGTTCAGCCCCCAACATTTTCACAACACCAACATCGTCACGATCACAATTGTCAGCGCCATCGTCACCAGCATCATCATTATACCAAAGGTAACCATCACCATCGTCAGCACCATCACCAATTACCGTCGGCAGCACAAGCACCATCATCTCCAGGATCAGCATCGCCAGCATCGCTGTCATCAGCAATATCGTCATCATCATCGTCATCTGTAACCTAATTATTCACAGCCGTTGTGGCTCAATCTGGCGCAGCAGCCAGCGACTGCGAGCCGTTCAGTGCCTCTTTAAGCACGATGCGTTGGGATTGAGCCCACATTCATTACGTATCTTTCGCGGCGCCACGGGCCACGGTCTGGCCATATCTCGCACTTAGCACCCGAGCGAGCCAGCATCCGGGAGTCCAGGCGACACCGCGGGCTTGACCATGTAATTGGGCGGCAGATGGGCGGAGGTGGTGAGGGGCAACAGTCCAATCATGGCGGCTGCCATAGCTGGGATTGCTCGAAGGGCGGTGCCTGGAGCCATTGGGGTAACAGAGGCACGGTCTGGGAATCTGGCGGATCATGCGGCGGGAAGGCGACGCCCCATGCATCGGGGAGTTCGCGGTGGAGTGGCGCGTCAAAGTTAGATGCCATAGAGCGGCTCGAGCTCAATCAGATACAGAGCGAAACCGGAAACGCTTGGAGGGCGAGAAGGACGCCACCAAGGCGACGTCAAAGGCGACGAGAACGGCGAGCAACATCACAAGAAGGATCACGTGTGACAGCTGGGGATGCTCCGCGCAGAGATCAAGTAGCTCGATGCTGGTCTTTGGAGCGGAGGAAATGCTCGGGCACCAGATGTCTGAGGCGAAGCATTTGGCTGCGCATATCGACCAGGAGCAGGCGATTCCTCACTCGAGACGAGACAGCGGACAAAGATGGCTACGTCGCAGGCGTTCTGCGCGCAGATCACGGGCCTGGTCCACGAGATCGTCGAGCAGGGGGGCATCCGCGAGGGCGTCGGGCAGAAATTGGAATCCGCGGTCGGGGTCAAGGGGGGGCCCAGCAGCTGCTGGATGACCTCATCGCCGAGAGGGCATGGGAAGACGCACGCCGAGAGGAGGGGGGCAGCATTTGGAGGAGCCTGCGAGGCAAGCGCGACTGCAGCGGGCGCGACTGCCCCCGCTTCAGCAGCTTCGCGCGGATCAGCGATCTCAATCCCAGCGGGGGGAGGACAGGCAGCAGCTGAAGGCGGACCAGGCGGACTGGCAGACCGAGCTGCCCACTTCGTCGAGGCGCTCGAGCAGGCTGCTGGCGCGCTGGAGCCGAAGTATTGCGAGGGCTGGGAGATGCCGGCGGGGCCCAGGCGGCGCGTGGCTGACGAGTTCGCCGCGGGGCGCGACGGCGGGGGCAGCGACGCGACCAAGTCTTTCTTCGGGGGGGACAAGCCGGATGCTTTTGGGGTTGAAGGCCATGGGAAAAGTAGCGCCGAGGGAAAGCGGAACCACCGAAGGTTGCGACAAGGCGGACGTAGCAGACGCTCGGGATCTGATGGCCATTCGGAAATCCCAGTTGCAGCGATTACCCGCCCCCCACAGTCAAGGGGAGAGGGGGGCGCGGGTAGCGCGTCCACCGCTGCGAGCATCAACGCTAGCGGCTGGGGGCCAGCGGCCGCCATCCTCGCGCCCCCCGCGCAAGGGCTGAACGAGGCGTTCAAAAGCACCAGGCGGGCGGTCACCTAGTCCAGGAGCGCCGCCCGGGCACCGAGCGAGTCTTGGAGTGGGAGCAGTGGCGCGGGCAAGTTGGGCCGCGCGCGGCCCCGAGCCCTGGGGCTATCGCTCGCGAAGGGGCGGGCCGTGGGGCAGCCGGCGGAGGCGCGGGCACGGCGGCGAAACGATGGTGTCATGCCACGTTGCAGCCAGCGGAGCGACTGTGGCGCGCGTGGACGGCCTCGGACCTGGAGGCTTCATGATCGGGTCAATCTGCGTGGGCAATGACACGGCGGGGGGCGGCGGCTTCTGGGCCCTGCTGGACATTTGGAACGCGCTCAGGAAGTCGGGCGAGCCCTGGGTCTCGGGCAGCGATTGAGGCGTCAGCCCCAGGGCGTTGCCCCTGAAAGCTGGCAGCTGGACCAGGGCGACCAAGGGCCAGCTCATCGACGCAGGCAAGAGCGCGCGCCAGGTTGCAGCGGACACGGGAGCGTCGGAGTTGGATTGGTTCATTGCGGATGTTGGCCTAGCGGTGATCGACGCGCAAGAGGTGGGCATTGCTGACCCGCGCAGGCCGCGCGCGGGAATGCGCCGCGCCCCCGCTGGGCAGGCGCAAGAGCCCATGGCGCTCTGTCACAGGGGGCGCGCGGCGCTTCCGAAGGCCGCGCCTCTCGACCCCTGCAGGAGGCGAACTTCCATTTCGCCGAGGGAAAGGATGAGATCCAGTCGGCGACGGGGGCGACCATGGGCGCGCCCCGGAGCGACTTGCGCGGGCGCGCCGAGAGCGAACTGCAGCGCGCGTACTGGGGTGGCGATCTAGATGCTGACAGGCGCCGGGGGCGCGGCAGGGCGCCGCAGTTTTCCCGGGGCGCGCCGGCCCAGGCGAAGCGCGCCGTGGGGCCGGGGGCGAGCTGCACGGGGGAAGTAACCCCTTACCGCGGATAATCAACACCCAGGGATAATAAAGTTCGGGGTTTTCGGGGAGATAATAAAAGTTGACCGCCAGAGCCAGCATGAAGAGATATCAAGAGGAAAAAGCAAAAGATATCTTGAGGATCCTTGGTCTTTGGTCTTCTATGAGACATCCTCAACAATGATTTGTCTCGGTTGAGACATCCTCAACGAATTGCTCGATGAGAGAGAGAGGGAGAGAGAGAGAGAGAGAGAGAGAGAGAGAGAGAGACAGACAGACAGACAGAGAGAGAGAGAGAGATCCTCGACATTTTTTTGCTTCGTTTGAGACATCCTCAAATACTTGCTGGTTCCGCTTGAGACATCCGTTTGGTTGTTGGCTGCCTCCCAAAATTATTGGTTTCGCTTGGGACATCATGAAACAAAAAAAACGTGTTCGCTTCGCTTGATGTTGTTATCTCAACATAAGAAGGAAGTAACCTCGATGGCGAACTTCCCCAGTGAGAATGCAGTTCGGCCTCCGCGCCCTCCGCCTATATTTGAAACCCTTCCAGGGCGACGATAAAACACTCTAACGACTTAAGGGGGGGGGGGGGGGGGGGGGGGGGTACTTTATTATCCGCGGCATGGGGTTAGCCGCGCGGGACTCAGATTTCATGGCGTGCGCCGGGGGTTTTGCGGCGCCTGCGAGGGCGCGGGCGCGGGGGGGGCCAGGAAGGGCGGGGGCAGCTTGGACGGGGGGCAATGTCTTTTGCGAGGCATGAGGTCCTTAGGGTGGCGGGCGTCGCTCTTGTGGATAGACTGGCGCACCCCGCGCGGTTCGTGCCCCCCCGTCGGGGGGGGGCCTGCGGCCGCGAGGGTCTGGTCGACAACTTCAACGCAAAGCTGCGCGCGGCGCGAGAAGCGCGCGATGCTGCGTGGAGACGAGGGTTGAGCAGGAGGAGCGAGACTCTGCGGACCCCCAACAAGCTGATGTGGGCACTGGGCCAGGGCGCGCGGGGGGGGAGATGCGCCGCGCACTGGGCAGCTACCTGGGGGGCGAGAGGTGGCTGGGCGAGAGGGCCCCGGCAAGGCGAGATAAAGTGGGCACGCGGGCATCGGGAAGTGCCTGAACCCAGGCGTCCTGATGCTGGCTGGGGGCAGGGGCGAGCGGCAGTTCAGCTCGTGGGCGACGCGCAACCTCGAGGCGGACCAGCAAGCAGTTTCGAGGGCTCGACAGGGGGGTCCCCCTCTGCACTCTTGCAGGTCTGGGCGGCGACAGTGACGCTGGCGATCAGAGAGCTCGCCGCGCGCGCGCGCGCGTTGGCACCCCGTGGAACGGCAGGGGGGCGAATTGGACATATTCATTGGATATGCGCGGAGGTGGATGCCGGGGCCCGACGGCGCCGGCGCGACGACCGCAGGGGGTCCTGGTCCGACGCGCGCACGCAGCGCCCCGTGCATTCCGCGCGCCTCCTGGAGGGGCGCAGTGCAGGAGGCATGGGAGCTGGGGCCGTTCAAAGGCGGCGGAAGTGGCGGTGGGGGGGGGGGGCGAGGGAGCTGCGCGCAGAAGTTTGGAATGGCGGCAGATCGGCCCGATCCCGATACCTCATGCTCATCAGAAACCTTCCGAAGTCGGGCGCCGAAGAATGGGGCGGGTGCATGGGGGCTCACTACGCGTGCCTGAGGGCCTTGAGGCGCCGCATTCAGGCCAACGCTTCAGCGCGGCCTGCCTCGCCAGACCCCGAGCCGCAGCCCGCCGACGGGGAGGGCCGCCGCGTGGGCAGGCGTGGCAGGAAACCCAGGGCACCTAAAAGGGCACTGGAGTTGCTCGGAAGCTAGTGGGCGGCGCGGGCGGAGCTTGCGCTGCAGCGCCACGCGCGGGCGCCGTTGGAGAAGTGGATCAACGAGGTGAAGGCGCCCGAAGCGGAGGCCGCGGCGCGCGCGGCCGCGACGGGCAAAAGCTCCGCGGAGTGGATCAGCAAGTCCGTCTCAGAAGTTGGAGGTGGGTCGCGTGACTTCAGGAAGGGGCTGCGCGAATCGGCCCCGGGCGACGCGGCGGAAGGAGCCCCAGCCGGCGGTCGGCATCGCGCCCAGGCATGCGCGGGGCACTGGCCCCAGGAGGCGCGGTGAGTCCGACTGGGCGCCGACGGGCCCAGGCTGGCAGCGGCGGACTCTTCTGCGGGGCGGCGCCCCCGATTCCGTCAGTCGCACGCGCAAGCGGGAAAGGCGGCGCGGGCCTTTGCGGGGCGCGCGGGCGCGGGCAGCGACCGCGCGAACCCGGGGCAAGCAGCTCCGCTCAGCGACTGGCTGCTGGAGGCGCGGGTCGACTACGGCATGCGGCGCGAGGACATTGGGAACTGGCCTGATCCGAATGCGGAGTCCCCGGTGGTCGTGCTTCCCAAGCCGCCTGGAGGCCCCAGACCTATTGGGGTCTCGGGTTGGCCCCCTCGCCTTTGGAATCGCACCCGGCAGTCGGCGGCGAGGCGGCGGGGCGAGAGCGTCGGCGAGCGCTTGGCAGGTTGTTTTGGGGGAGGCAGAGGGCGCACCGAATGCGAGCCAAAGCTGGCGGAGGCGGCGCGAAGAAGTGGCGGCCGCGCTCGTTGACTCGCGGAAGGCCCAAGAGCTGGCCAACGACGCAATGATCCTGCAGAGGGGCGGACTCGCGCAGCACCCGAGAGGGCAAATTACCTACGATGGCAATGTCCGTCCACTCGGGGGAAGGGCGCGTCGAATTTGTTGGCGGGTCTTGGGCCGCGTTGCTGGATCCGGCCTTGCAGGGCGATTGTCGAAGAGGGGCCTGCTGCCCGTGGCGGGCGAGCGCGTCGGAGAAATGCGAGTGCTGGAGCCGAGGGACGTCTTCGCAATTACGTTTGACGAATGCTGCGTGGCGCGCCCCAGGCCAGTGGCAGAGGTTGCAGCGCGCCTGGCAGGGCAACCAGGATGGCCATCATGGGCCCGGCCAGCCCCGGCCGCGTCATTTCCAAAGAGAAGAGCGACATGCTGGCGACTTCCTCGGCGGGGGCATCGCTCGCCGCTGAGTTCGCGGGGGCCCCGGCGGTCCCGAAGGCAGAGTGCGTTGACGACTCGGGCGTGAACTTCAGCCTGGGCTGGCAGACGCTCCGCCGCAGGAAGAAATGGCAAAGCGGCGGCTCAATTTGAATGGGCGCGCGCCGCGCGCAAGCAAGGCGCAGCGGCTGCTGGTTGCACGGTAGATGCTCGGCTCAGACCAACGACGTGGTGCGGGGCCGGCGCGATAGCATGGCCTTGACCATTGCTGGAGAGCTTGAGGAGCCACATCATCGCTGTTCGCCATATGCGTGCAGAAGGGAAAGGCTTGAGCCTCAGCCCCGCGATAGGATGGCCCCTGAAGAACGACCCATGTACGACCGCGCGCCGATGCCCATCGAGGCGTGGGCAGAGGCGCTGCAGCGCGCGCGATGGGGAAGATGCGGCGCCGGGCAGAAGATCCAGCCGCGCAGCGCAAAGGCTGCGGAGAGATGGACTTGAACCCTTGGCCAGCATGGGGCCGTCTCCTGCCGCGGCCATGACGTGCCAACGGGCAGGGGTGGAAGCCCGTCCCACTAGGCAAGATGCACAGCGGCATGGGCCAGAAGGTGGACCTCGTGTCGCTGGGGGCGTCTATTGTTTTCAACTCTGTGGAGACAAATACCTACTGCGAGGTGCCTGTGGATGGGGTGCTGGCAGATGGCAGGGCCTCGAGCATCTTCGGGGCGGCGGGGCCTTGGGCGGCGCCGCGGCGGTTCTGCGTCGCAAGGGGCATCGAAGCAGGCGGCGCAGGAGATCCGCTCGGCGAAGAACGCGCCCGCGGGGTTCTCCCGGCCGGCAGCGAGAAGGGCTCGGCGCCAGAGGCCCCTGGCGAAATCAGAGCGTTGCCCGAGAGGTCGCGGCGAGTTGCGTGCAGTCAGGCACTTGGCACGGCAATGCGAGGCCGCGGTGTGCGCGCGAAATGAGCGCATCTCGATGGGCGAGGCGGACGAGCGCAGGAACGCAGAGGGCGTGACGTTCGAGACCGTCGTCAGGCTGGCGAGCTGCAGGGCCGAGGGAGGGGGGTCGCCCTGTGGCCAAGGGCGCTCGCGCACGAGCGCCGCAGGCTGTTGCCACCTTCTGTCGTGACTGGAGCTTCCAGACGCGAGGGGTTCGATGCACTTCTGGGGCAGCCTCCCACGGGCTCGCGGACGGCAGCGTGGAGGCGCCACATCTATGCGCAGCAGGGGCAAGTTGGGCAGTTGTTTCGATTGCGAACGACGAGGAGCGCGTGGCCCAGTTCGGTCCAGTACCGTGGCCCTGCCCACAGGAGTCGGATGCGGTCTTGTAGTCGTGTCTTCCATCCGTGCGAATCTGCACAGGTTGCGAGTTGCTGGTCGATGGTTGCGAAGTTGGCAAGAAGTGGCGCGCGCCGTGGCGGATACCACATCGCGAGTTGCGGGTGCGGTTCCGGCAGGCGGTCGGAGGTGTCGGAGAGGAAGGCATCCAGATCACCAAAATCACAGCGCATGCCGCGATCGCGGAAACACGTGCGGAGGGGATCGAGGCCTAGCAGGGACGGGGCATCCACGTTGCAGACAAGAGGCCTCGTGACTGAGCAAGGATGCATCCTCATGGTGAGTTTTTGCAGCGCAGCCAGCAGCAGGGCATGTTGCTGGCCGAAAAGTTCAGGTTGATCGGCGCGGCCATGGAGGTAGGCAGCGCGGAGCTCGCGACAGAGGACGGGCGCGGAGGAGAAGGTCTTGCGGTGGTGCGTGTCAGCTTAGATGGAAGGCGCGGCGCCAGTTCGAGTCACGCGGCAGGCATGGCACGTATATTCACATTGGCGAGCTGACGGGGTGGTCGCGCAGCAGCCGCGCTGGATTGGACCGTTTCATTTGTCCCATTCCATCCGTCAGCGGGTGTGGGCTCCGCCATCTCGGCGGCAGCGGCCGTGCCAGCAGGTTAACAGCGAGGCGCGGCGAGCAGCAGCAGTGGTGCAGGCACTGGCGGCCAGGCGGATGCCTCCACGCTTCCGCCGCCAACGCCCCCGCGATGTAGTCTCAAGCGGGAACCCTTTTCCGTATGGGCGCCCAGGAAAACCGACATTCGCGCCCTGGGGAACGGGGCGGGGGAGGAGGTGGATGGGGGACGGGAAGCAGGATGACGAAGAGGAGTCAGAGAAGGGGGCGGGAAAAATGGCCCCCGCAAGGGCAAACCGGAGAAGGGCGATCAGGAAGCAGGAAGAGAGCATCTGCATTCACAAGGACGACGATGAGGATGATTTCCAGATTGGTCAAGGAGGTTTCCATGCGTGGTCTTAACGTCGAAGTGATTATTTTTATGGAATCTGGCGATGGCCCAAGTTATTTAACAGGATGCAGCAAGTATCCATACCGCTATCGTGTTTCCCTTGTTGGGCCTCGGAGGCCCTCGTCACCACGGCTGGGGTCGCCTCGAAACTTTGGTCACGACGCACCGCGGGCGAAGTCCGGGGAGTAGTTGTATTTGTGCCTTGTCTTTTCTCCATTCTAGGGCCCGCCCGCCCCCATCCCGATAACCTGACCTTGTCGCTTGCTCAGGTGGGGTACCCTGCGTTGGTGCGCGTGCGCGCGCACGCGGAAACCCAAGCCGAAAAAGGTATAGGCCGACACATGTTCAACATCAAAACACGATTTCGGCCCATACCATCAACATGGAAACCACATGTTTTTGAATTCGCCTGGCGAAACAAACAACCATATGCAGTTGTTAACACCGCAGATGTGGGGATCGTCTTCGGTGGAGCTCCCTATGGGACACGAAACGCTGTACTGGGTGGGGGGACGCATGCGAACATTGCCACTGGGGCCTTCGGTGGAGCTCCTCATGGACCACGAAAGGCTGTACGGGGTGGGGGAGACGCATGTGAACTTTGCCCCTGGGGCCTTCGTTGGAGCTCCCTATGGGGACACGAGGCGCTGTAGTGTGGGGGGGCACGCATGTGGACGATGCATCTGAGGCCCTCGGCTGAGCTCCCTATGAGGCCACGAAGTGGTGTATTGGGTGGGGGGGACGCATGCGGAAGGGTCCCTCGGGGCCTTCGGTGGAGCTTCCTATGTAGCCACGAAGCGTTGTCTTGAGTGGGGGGGACGCACGCGGACGGTGCCACTGGGGCCATCGGTGGAGCTCCCTATAGGGACACGAAACGTTGTACTGGGTAGGGGGACGCATGCGGGCAGAAGCACTGGGACCGTCGGTGGAGCTCCCTATGGGGCCTCGAGACGCTGTACTGGGTGGGGGGGACGCATGCGGGCGGTGGCACTGAACCTTCGGTCGATCTCCCTACAGGACCACGAAACGTGCGAGCGGTCTGGCGCCTTCGGAGTCCGTTCTGGTGGCTTTTCTTGACCCTTCTGGGGTTCTGAAGCGGTCTCTGCGCTGCTTGTCTGGTGCAACGTGCAAGCTCATCGGAAGAGAGGTAGTCGTGACACCGCAGCCAAGATGCAGGCCCCCGAAGCCCTCTTGCCCTGAAGCCCTCTTGGGGCCATCCTCGAGGCAGTGGACGGGGGGAGACTGCTGGAGTCAGGCTCCTTGGCTTCCGGAGCCCCAAGTCACATCCTGGATCACCTTTGGCATCTGTAGTGTTGTTCTCTGGGGCCTGTGGAACAGTCGTGGTCCATGATGAGATTTGTTGTTTAGCTTAGGCAGTCTTGAGCAGCGTGACAGTCCTGAGGCATGAGAGATCCATGAGATGGGCGAGAAGGCGAAAGTCGTTGAGCCACAAAGTCAGTGGTTCTTTCACTGGTCGGGAGCATTTTGGGGAGGTTCAGGGGCCACCTGCGAGCAAGGTTGACTCGCTCTTGCGTTTAAGAGCCTTGATGGACGCCACCTCTGCTGTCTTGAACCATATTGTGCCATCTTGGAGGCATTGTTGGGCTGTCTGGGACCACCGTGCAGACATGCAAGGCCATCGTGGGGTTCACTCTCCTCGCGGCCCCCTCAGTCCAGAACCCCCTGGGAAGACTTACCCTATTACAGCGAGCCGGCCCTTCCCAGCGACTCAAGTCGTGGAGCCAGTGTGGCTGCCATTCCGTCTTGAACCAGGCGAGCTCGGACGGGTAGGGAGCGGGCTAAGTCTCCCAAAGGGGCAGCTGGGGCTGTTTCTTGCAGGATCTTGCACCCTGAACCACCTACATCCACAGAGTCCGTGGGATTACGCCGCTGCCGTGGCTCTCGCTGTTTCAGGCATGACGCCCCGCTCTTCGCTTCCACGTTGCACCCCCGCTCTGCGGCCACGGCTCAGCCCCACGACGTCGGTCCTGCAAACCGACCCCCACGCCACAGCCCGCGCTGCAGCTCCTCCTTGGGGACCTGCGCTGCCGCCCTGACCTGCGGTCCGACCCTGCGCCCCCGCGCCGCAGTCCCGCTTCGAGCTCCTTCGCAGCAGTCCCGCACGCACTCGCCGTGGTGTGTCGCCCTGCCGCCCCGCGCCAGGACCCCTCGCTGCAGTTCCACGTTGCGGCGTTGCGCTGCGCTCCCTCGGCCACTCGGCAGCTCCTCGCCGACGCCCTCTGCTGCTCTGCCCCGAGCCATGCGCCCCCGCGCTCAGCTGCACCCCCCCTTGTGCTGCCTCCCGCTG